CCCTGAGCTGCAAAGCCTACAGGGAAGTGAGTCTCCACTCCCCAGGTAGACCTCTTGCCCATGACACTGTATATCTCAACAGGTCACTGAACTGCTTAGGGCAAGATGACTTAAATAGAAAACTCTTTCACAGATAGTTACTCCCTATCCCATTCCTGTTAATTGCTAGAAAAGTATTCTGTCTTAACCCACCCAAGAAAGCCACCCAAATAACTGTGATGTCTCTCTGAGTTCACAGAAAGGTCTCAGTTATCCATTGTCTCACTTCCCCCAAACAGTCCCTGCAGATGGAGGGAATTCCACAAAATGTGCTTGTGGCTGCTGAGTAGATGCAGAACAGAGGTGATCTGCTCACCTCCACACAGCTTCTAGCTCCAGCCTGCTCTGCAACTCAATCACTAGCACACAGCTAACCAAATTATGCTCTGGGTCCAGGGTTGCCTGTTATGTGGCTCAGGAACTTCATTTGTAATCACCATTAACCAGAAAAGCTGCACGGCTGCTTGATGCCCATAGAGTGGAGTGTCATGCAAGACTCTCAGAAACCAAGGGGCTGGAAGAGGCTGCAGAGCCTTTAGAATAAAAGTGGAAGAGGGCAGACGTCAAGCCTGGGCTCCTCAGGTGCCTATGGGCAGTGAAGAGGCTGCAAACTGGGAAGGGATTGAACCTGGGGAAGTAAATGTTCAGAAGACTGAGAAGTGGACCCTCTGAAGGGGCTATGGGGTAAGAACTGGGTAACCCACATGCCAGCACTAAACAACCTTGTCAGCTTTGAGCTGCTTTAAGGCAGGCATTCAGGCTCCACAGGACATAGGCTGCCTCTAAATCTCCAAAAACAACACTTAAGGCCTCTAGGTCTCATCCTACCCCTGCTGTGCTGCATCAAGCAGTTAGCAAAGCCCCAGAGCACCTCAAGATTTCTACAGATCACACAGCAGAGGCAGAGGCAGTGTTTAGCTTTGCCACAATCTTTCTTTTCTCATCTTTCTCTCCTTAGAGGACCTCTTCCTCCCCCTCCTCCTCTTCTCCTCCCCTCCCCTTCTCTCCCCTCCCTACCCCTCTTTTCCCTCAGTCCCCTTCCCCCCTCCTCCACTTCTTCTGCTCTCTTCTCCTTCTTCCTCTACCTCCACACAGCTTGCCCTTCCCCACCACCACTGCACATACATTCATCCACATTACCTGCTCTTAGAATGAAAGGTGTGTTTGTGTGTGTGTGTGTGTGTGTGTGTGTGTGTGTGTGTGTGTGTTCTGTCTGTAAATCCAAGGTTAATGGATTGCAACAGAGAAGACTGGCAGGGACCTGGCTGAATGGTTACAGGGAGGTGGGGTACTTAAGCTGGATGCAAAGGGGGACAGTAGTATCAGGACTTAAGCTGGATACTTAAGTACTATGCTGGCTCTGCGTGGTGGCATCAGACAGGGCCTTTCAGAAGCTTGCCAGAAAGCATTTTGCTGGTGTTTCTTTTCAGAAACTTGCTTATCAAAGCCTGTTGTTTTGAGGAGGAAGTCACGCAGCCACCCCAGCTCAGGGTGTGCTTGGGAAGGGCTGAGGACTGGCATCAGAGGGGCTCTAGACAGCCTGAAGGCTGAATGGACTATCCATGACACCCCACAAAGGGTATGTCTGGTCTGCAGACAGGGCTCAAGGCAGAGGCCCAGTAGAAAGGAAGCAGGACAGAACAATCTCAGTTTAGAAAGGAGCGGAGGATTCCAGGAAGGAAGGAATACTGGCTGAGGGGCAGCAACCCAGAAACCCCCAGCCTGAAGCTGACTGGCCACAGCGTACCAACCACTGGGAAAGAAGAAGCAGAGAGCAGCCACCAAGAAAGCTGGCTCCCTGGGGGCCACTTTTCATGGGTTGGGAAGGAAAAGTGGGGGAGGGCATCCTTTAATGCTGATCTGGGCAAGGAGTTACAAGTACAGGCAGAGAGAAACACACATGGGGAAGCATGGGGTCTCATGTGCTCCATTGCTTAGCATGCACTTAAGGCCCAGTGTTCAAGATCAGCCACTCTAAAGGATCCTTTTAATTAGGATGGGCTATGGCTTTAACCAGAGTATCTGCAAGAAGTCCCTAGAAGACTCTTTCCATTTAGGCAAAAAGACATCAGCTTGAAGGAATCCCAGGTTACAAAGTAATCACCTTCATAAGATTGCTAGTGAAGGTAACCTGTACAAGTGTAGTGGATACATGATTTTTCGTGCTCAGTTTATGATTTTTAATTATAATTCAGTACTTTCCTGGGGGTCTTAAATGCTCTTAGAATTCTCAGGAAAGTCCAGGAAAAGATACGGTATAAAAACGTGTCCACACAGTCTTCCCAGTCCTCTTTGTAGCTCCATGCAGCTCATCAAATGGAAAGTGAAGCTGCAGTCTCTACATCCCCGTCACCATTTCATGTACCAGCCTGTCTTACAAAGTGCGGGAAAGCACCACAGATCAATAGCTATTCTGGGCTAACATCGTCACAGCCTTCCTTTTCCCCCTGAAGAAATGACGCCTGCCCTCCCCCAACCCCAGATCACAGTTTATTACAGCAAAAGCATATTTCTGTGGTCTATTTATGGAAAGTAATGTTTAGAAAAAGAAACCTTTTGATCTTGTGTGTACTTTTTAATCTAAACAATGGTGCTTTCAGATGACTGTTCTTAAAAATAACAATCGAACAAATAAAAAACCCAAAGCTGTGCTAGCTTCAGGTATGAGCCATAAGACTGATGATGACCTATGGTCACTGGACCCCAGAAGTGGAACTGGTGGAGACCCACAGAGCAGTTTGGCAGATGGCCTGTCCCTCTGCCTGCAGTGGCCCTCCAAGTCCCGTGTGCTGGGACCCAAGCCCTGGTAGCACTATAGTACCACATACTCTTTGTTTACTTGCAATGAGGCTCTAAAGAGGAAAATCCCTAAGTGGGTTTTTTTTTTTTTTTTTAAATTGGAAATGAAAAGCCAAATGAAAGTGTATATGAAGAAGTAAGCCATGAAAAATCAACTCTCAAAACACACCTTCCCTATTTCTGTGATCCTTCGAAGAGCCTACAAATTATGTGCAAAAGTGTACATGTATGTGCGTGTGTATAGAGGAGAACATTACAGTCATTCATTTGCTACTACCTCTTAGCATCTTCGTAAAGCTGTGGCAGAGGCAGGACAGATATTCTTGAGTCTGATTTAAAGGTGAGGAAGGGAAGGCTCTGAAAGATTAAGCTACTCATTATCACACAGCAAGCTGGCCAGAGATAACTCAAGGCCCCCAGCTCAGACTCTGGGTCCCATGGTTGGGGCAGCAAGACTGTTGATCAATATCTAAGCAGTCATCACTGAAAATTCTACACAGATGATTTTCCCTCACCCCACAGCAGGACCTTAGCACCATTTCCCATCATCAGGTGCAGTCAGTGGACCATATAAATTCAAGCTTTGGAACTGCTAAGTTGCATAAACAATTTTAAAGGTATTAAAATGCAAAACAGGAGTAAACAATATTTCTTGCCATGGGGAAGTAACTAATATAAGTTGACAAAATAATGGGACTCGGAAGAGGTCTTCAAAGCGGCCATGAAATGAAATTCAGAAGTATATTTTAATACATATACTGTACCAAGGATGACTGGTAGAGAATTCTCATTTATAAAACCAAGCCGTAAAGGAAAAACATGCTGCAATGGGAGGAAAGAGAAGAGAGAGATGAATGAACATGAGAGAGGGAGGGCTTCAGGACGATGGATTAGCTTGGGTACCACAGAAAGTCAGTTCCTAGGTCAGAGGAAGCACAGGAGTCCCAGTATAGTCCAGGCTCCCTGTATCCACCGTTGCCCCTGACCTATGGCCTCAGGAGCTCCAGACACCTGTTCCTGTTAAGGATTTCCAGGAATGGAGCTGGGAGGCCACCCCTGAGCACTGACCTGCTGTGTAAGGGGCTGAGAACTGTCTGATGGGGAGAGTTTATCACTGTCCAACCACAGCGATTAGAGTAACAGACTTTGGCCTCCTGGAGACAGTCCTGGACTCTGCTGCAGACACAGCCCCTCCCCCGTCCCTCAATCCTCCAGTACAACCAGAACAGGCAGAAACTTCCAGTGAGTCCTGTCTTTTATTTTTGGACAGAGTTTCACCTTTGGAGAGTTCAGCTGTGCCTTCCCAGCACACCCTTAGCCCACTCCCATCTTTCCCACATCCCTAGACAGGGGCTCTCCACTCATTTCCTTATTGATCTGGGCTGTAATGTGCAGTAGTCTTTTTAGACCTGCATCTTGGCATGCCTGTTTACAGTGGAAAAGCAAAGGGAACGTGGAGGAAGCAGGCAAGCAGCGAAGCAGCCACAGGCAACTCAGCACCCAGCTGCGCTCTAAGACGCTTTCATCATTACACAATTGAAGCAAAGCCCTTTTCCTGCTGCTGTCCTGGATGGAAGGCTCAAATCTAGCTGGCAGGAGGGAAAGGGGCTAAACTCCTCTCAGCAGCACACACACACACACACACACACACACACACACACACACACACACACTGTCTGAAGACAAGGGTGAATGAACTCTTTCCAGAAAGAGTCCTTGCCAACTCCCAGGTCCTGTCTCAAGGCGCCTCAGCTCTGTAACTACTGCACAGCAAATGGGATAGGCAGCAATTCGGGGAACTTTTCAGATCTTTTCTCCTGGGCACTGGTCCACAAACATTTGGGAGGAGACGAGGACATCTCGCCCCACTCCTTCCATCGCCCTCCCTTTCTGACTCCGCACTCAGATGACAGCCTGGGGAAGACACTACACCACCACTCCAGTGTCGCCAGCCAGTCCAGGAAACAGCACACAGTCCCAGTAATAATAGTGCCAAACCATCTACAGGGCAAGAACGAACCAAGGCATGCCTCCCCAGAGCCCCACAGTTCTAGCACCAGCAAACTGTGTTTGCAAGAGCTCGCTGCCCAGCTGTCTTCCCAGAAAAGACTAGAGCCCCTGCTAGAGATGGCTAGAAAAAGCAGTGAGAGGCGGTGACTCACCTTTAGGGTGTGTGTGGGGTTCACCACACAGACAAGTTGCCCAGCGGCGGAGAAAACCCGTTTAGCCTTGTAGTGCTGAAACCGGAGGTGAATGAGATCCAACACAGCCCCAAAGCACTGGGTAAAGAAAAGCATCCCAACTTTTGGGGGGTTGTTGGCACAGAAAGGCAGCGGAGGAGGCTGTAAGTCCTCAGGCTGTGAATGGAGCGCAGCCTCTGAGACACTCCGCTTCAGCCGGGCTTAGCGCGCCTTCATATTCATCATCAAAATAAGACGGTTAGAATCTTGCAGCAGTGAGGCAGCCAATCAAAAGGACAGAAATGTTATCCTTGAGGTACAGAGACAGCCAATAACAAATGCCTCCCCTACTGAAACTCCCTGATGAATTGAGCCTGGCGGAGAATGTATTATTGAACATTACCATAGATCAGCACATTGCATTTATCTTGTGATTACAGCCAACCGTACATAATGCTGGGGAGATAGGCTGACAAAATTGATTGCTTAATGTGTCTCCATTTATTAATTGACTTAATTTAACATGAGAGCCTTTCTTAATGCCCTGGCCAAAAAAGAAAAAAGAAAAAAAAAAAAAAAAAAAAAAAAAAAAAAAAGAAGAAAGAAGAAAAATGTAAAACGTTTAGACCTCCAAACAGTAAAGCATCCGACTCCAATGAATGAGGCAGATGGATAAGGCAGCTCATGGCTCCCCTCACCAGAGATGCTGGGAGAAAATCAAATATTACAAGACACTGATTCCAGATAAGGATTTGGCAGCCGCAGAAATGTGTATCTTTCAATCTAGCGTTCTGATTCTCTGCAATTTGGATCGCAGCCCTTTGATAAATCTAACACTCCACTCTTTATGTTAAAAAAAAATCTGACAAATGCATTTGAAATTGAGGGGAGGTGCATATATTTTTTTAGGATACTGTAATTACAGGTCTTTTTAAAAATTATTATTAAAGCATAAAAATGCACAGAGCATGCTTCTAAAAATAATGAAATCCCCAATGCATGAATGCACACATAGAAAAGCCTACACGGAGAAGAGACAGGCTTGTACATCAGCAAAACAATTACAGATGCCACCGAGAATCTGCGCTTGCCATTCATTTGCATATTGGTGGGCTGCAAATTGCTAATTAACCGCTAGATTGTTGGAGACATTAAAACAGATTAAGAACACACACAGCACATCACTTACTCGGTGCTGTGAAAGCTAGCAGCACTTTTCTGTGCTGGAACAGGCAGTGACCACTCCAGTCCTCAACTGCAACGCAGCACTGCCGACCGGGGCCCAAAGTGGGCTGTGGGGCCGCCCATCGGCTCTTGAAGGGAAGCTGCTATGCAGTACATAGAGGGCTTTAGGGCTTCTGGGGATGAGCCCCCCGTGGTATATTTAGTCAATGCCGCAAAGTCTGAGACTTGGAAGGATTGTGTTTTTGCTCTTTTTGGCTGTTTCACCAAAAAGAATCAGACGGACAGAATTCTGTGGTCAGACAGACCCCCCCCACCACCACCACCAAGTGGACTCCAGCAGGATCAGCCTCTGGAACGAAGCTGCAGTTGAGTCTGAGCCTGTGGTTCCTTCATGATCTCTCTGCTGCCCCAAGATAGCTGCCAATACAGCCCCACACAGAATCCTAGACTTCAAACATGAGGGTGTTTTTGTAACTCTGTTGCATGGTTCTCAGATGTGAACTTTGTAGATGACAACATCACATTGCAATGGCAAAAGGTGAGATGTGCCTGGGTCACAGGACTACAACGGCACCCATGGACCCTGTGGATTCTAAGATATCGTAGAGTGTGTGACCTGGTCAGGCTCTTAAACTAACAACAGACTAAAACACAACAAGAAAGGACATATATGCCCAGGTTAATGAAAGCAGGTTAATTTGAATTCAAATTTTAAACCAAATCAATATCTAAAGGAATAAACTGAATGCTGAATAAAATTGAGTGCTTTTACTTTTAATAATAAATGCACTTGGAAAATATGATATGACAATGTTTGAACTGATTAAATTTTCTTCAATGTGATGTCTTTATAAATAGGATGTATGGTGCACACCTTTAGTTCCAGCACTCAGGAGTTTAAGACCAGCCTGGTCCACATAGCAAATTCCAGGCCAGCTGGGGCTATAGGGAGACCCTGTCTCAAAAGAGACCCTACCCCCAAAAGAAATGTCAAGCAGAGCTGGGCGTGGTGGTCCATGCCTTTAATCACAGCACTCAGGAGGCAGAGGCAGGTGGATCTCTGTGAGATGCATTATTCTCAGTCTCCAGTACTGCAAAAATCAAGCAGTTAATCAATCAACCCTGGAAAAAAAAAAAAAAAAAAAAAAAAAAAAAGAAAGAAAGAAAATAGGATGTGAGTTCCTGTCACCATAGGGTGTTTGTTAGTCTACAATATTAGAAGCTGCTTATAAAAGTTTACATTATCTGGAATAAGCTTTCAGAAATTAAGTAGGAAAGTGTTCAATATGATTTCTTTTGTCTTCTTTTATCTTTAAAAAAGATTTATTTCATTTTTATTTTATTTTTGAGTATGTACATATGTGTGAATATGTACATGTGAATACAGTTGCCTATGAAGACAGAGGTGTTGGAGTCCCTGGAATTGGAGTTACAGGCCGTTATAAGCCACCCTATGTGGGTGCTGGGGACCAATACTTTGGTCCTCTGCAAGAGCAGAATGCACTCTTAACTGCTGAGCCATCTCTCCAGCCCCTTGCCTTTTCTACATCTATTTATGTATGTCTGTAAACACATGCATGCTATGACATTTGTGTGTGGTGGCCAAAAGACAACCCACAGGAATCAATTCTCTCCTATCATGTAAGTTTAAGAGGTCAAACTCAGGTCATCAGGCTAAGTGGCAAGTACCTTTACCAACTGAGCCATCTTGCCAGGCCCCCTTCTTTTTTTGTTTTTTTGATCTCATATACCCTAGGCTAGCCTCAAATTTGCTTTATAGCCAAGGGTGACCCTGAACTAATACTGGTCCTCTTTCCTCTACTTCCCAAGGTCTGGGATGATTACAGGTGTGCACCATCATGCCCAGCTTTGTCTTCTTTAAATTTTAAAAATAAAAGTGAGCATATACTCACATAGATTCCTTAAAACATGATTCAGAGTCTAAACTGCTTTACATCTTTATTTAAAATGGAACTATCATGGTGGGGATTTTTGTTTACTTTTATCTTTTGTTTATTTATTTTTTGTTTTTCTCACATTACTAGAAGTAAGTCCAATGAAGGTGGGTTTTTTAATCATTCTTTTTTAAAGGCATATTTAAAATGATTACAAACAAAATGAAGATGCCATCAAGTAAGGCTAAGACTATTTATGTTGATAATCCCAGACTGGTGCTTAAGATACAGAAACCAATGCTCCTTTTAATCTTAAATTGATTAAAGACTATTTTAGAACAGTTTTTGATTCACAACAAAATTGAGAGGAAGGTACAGAGAATTCTCTTATGCCTGCTGCCCCCACACAGTATAACTTCCCCAACCATCAACATCCCTGTCAGAGCTGAGAAGTGACTTTGTTACAATTGGTAAAACTCCACTGACATGTCATTATAATTCAGGGTCTATAGTTGACATTGGGATTCATAGCATGCTGTTACACCATGAGTGTGCACACATGGATGTTGACATCTGTCACTGTAGAACCACACAGGAGATTTGCACTCCTCTGAAAATCCCAGGTCCCTTTTTCTCAGCCTTCCTTCTTCCCAAACCCCTGCACCATGGACCTTTGTGCCATTATTATAGTTTTACCTTTTCCAGAATGCCTTATCACTAGAACTATAAAGCATGCAGCTTTTTAAAACAGTTTATTTCACTTAATAGCATGCATCAAGATCTCTCTGTGTCTTTTCATGATTTGATAGTTCACTTTAGCCCTGAATAATGCTCTTTTTTTTCTGAATATACCACAATTTATTGATGTGTTTGTTTGTTTGTTTGTTTGTTTAGACTGCGTCTCAACATGTAGTCCTGGCTAGCCTGGAACTCACAGAGATCTGCTTGCTTCTGTGTGATTGTTTGAATGAGAAACGTTCAACCCTTATAGGCTCAAGTATTTGAACACTTTGGTCCACTGTTTGGGAGGTCACAGAATCCTTAGGAGGTGCAGCTTTGCTGGAGAAAGCATGTCACTGGGGGCTTTGAGAGTTCACAACCTTGCCCCACTTCCAGGCCACGCTCACTGATTCATGTTTATGGTTGAAGATGTGAGCTCTCACCTTCCTGCCACTTGTTGCCTCCCCACTGTGATAGACTTTGATCCCTCTGGAACCATAAGCCAAAACACACTCTTTCTTCCGAAGTTGTCTTGGTCATGGTATTTTATCACAGCAACAGAAAAGTAACTAACACACTGTCTCTCAAGTGCTGAGATTAAAGGTGTGTGCTGCCATGCCCTGCACCACAATTTATTTACCTGTTTACTAGCTGGAGGGCATCTTGGTAGGTTCAAGATTCCAAGAAATTATGAATTAAATTGTGCAGATTATTAAATGGCCCTGAGTTTTCAACTCTTTTGAGTAAAGACCAAGGAGAAAACTATTACATTTTATGGTAAAAGTATGTTTTGTTCATAGGAAACCACCAAACTGTCTTTCAAACTGGCTGTGCCATTTTGTAGTCCAGCAGCAATGAAAGGCTTCTTCCACATCCTTGCCAGCATTAAGTCTTATGAGTGTTCTAGATTTTGGCCATTTTAATAGCTATATAAGTGTTGATTTCATTTATATTTTCCTGTTGACACAACATGGAACATTTTCATATATACCATTTATATATATATGGTATATATGAAAATGGCACAAATACATATATATTTATGCCATATACATACTTTCTCTGATGCGGTATCTGTTCTAGACAGTGATTTCTTTTAAATCAGAGTATTTCTTCTTTAAAATTTCTTATTTATTTATTTATTCATTTAGTCATTGGTATGTATGTATGTAGACATGTGCAAATGTTTGTGTGTGCATGTGTATATGGAGGCCAGAAATCTACACCAGGTGTCTTCCTCTATCACTCTCCACCTTAATTTTTGAGACAGGGTCTGCCATCTCATGGGGGAATCAGACCAGGACAGAAGCAAATCAAAACCAATTTAAGATTTCACCTAATCCCAGTTTAGAATGGCTAAAATCAAGAGAACAAATGACACCAAAGGCTGGCACGGATGCAGGGAAAGGG